TCTATTCCCAAGACTTCCTTACAGCCTCCTGATGACTCCATAACTTTTCTCTCTAGTTTAGTCCTTTATGCTGAGTCACAAACAAAGGAAACATCTATCAGCATGTACACTTGAATGTCTGTGTCTGTTCAGGTCCATAGACAGAATGGTCTCCTTTGCCAACCTCTGCTCAGCTGATACAAAATTAGGTTTAACTTTATCATATATCATTTTCTTCTCTCTTCATGCCACTTGGGTTTAGTTTATTTAAAGCAAAAATAGGGAGCCTAATCCTTTCTTGTTCTTTTAAGTAAAAATATATTTGTCGCTTTTAACCAAAGGGTTAGGTATGTTGTAAGAGGAATGCTCCACCTGTCTACTGAAGGCAAGGTCCCAGTTGCACAGAAGGCCATTCAGAACTCCAAAAACTCCTTCTGTAAGTGCTGCCATCATACTGGGCCTGACATCCGACCTCATGACCGCGGTCAGCAGAGGGAGACACAGGCTGCTACTCCATTTACGATGGAGAAACACAGAGTCACTTGACCAAAAACTCCAACAAGTTTCTTTTGTGGATCAGTTTTAACCCCTTTCATCGGCCAGTTTGGCTAGTTCCATCCTTCCTTTGCAAATAAGGTCAGCTGATCGGGTTATACAGGGACTAAACTTAGGTTAAAATAAGTTTGAGATTGATCACCACCATTGAACCTTCTAATAGTGTATCAGTTAGCTTTTACTGCATAATAAACCATTTTAAAACATACTGACTTGCAAGAAAATGTTCTGTGGTTATTTGGGTTATTAATCTGATCTGAGCCAGCTCAGCTTGAGCTGGACCGTTTATGATCACCACACTCACATGGCTAATAATTGGAAGACTACTTGGTCTAAAACACACCTCACTCGCATGTCTGCTGTTAGCATGGGTGACAACCTCATGTTTCCCACCATCCAGTAGGATAGCTCGGGCTCATTCTTAGAAGGATGGAAGAAGAGTTTCCTTCAGTGAGGGAGGCAAGCCCCAACTCACAAGCACTGTCCAGTTCTTTACTTACATCATATTTGCTAATGTCCCATTGGCCAAGCAAGTCCTGTGGCCAAGCACACATTCAAGGAATGGAAAAACAAACTTACCTCTTGATGGGAGGACTGAAAAAACATGTTTCAAAGGGGCATACATTCGGGGGTGCAGGGGATTATGGGGGCCATTTTTGAAATTTTATGGCCTTTTCTTAGTCAAGTCATAGGAATAGAAACTGGAAAGATCCCAGGAATTTGGGATTACTGGAGCTATTTGAGAAACAATGGGTCAAGAGGCAGCATCTGGGAGAAGCCATTTCAAGGGTGAGAGCGACTGAACTAGACCAACCAAGAGGGCAATCTCCAAAATCTCCCTGACTTTGTGTCTCAGTCTGAGGGAAACAGGATCTTAACCTACTCTTTACTTTCCTCTAAAAAACTGGTGTCACTCAATAATTCTCCAACCCAGTAAATGGCAACACCGTCATCCAATTAGTTCAAGCCAAAAATAAAATCATCCTGGATTCCTACTTCTCCTTTATCCCCATATCCTAACCATGAGCAAGGCTGATTGGCTTTATCCATCTAAAATCTGTTTCCACTCCACCCACTCATTTCCATCTCTTCTCCCACTGTCATCTTAGAGCTTTCCTACATCTTTCACCTGGACTTTTACTATAGTCTCCTAATTGATCTCCTTGCTCCCTCACTTGTTCCCTTTACAATTAATTATCCAAACAACAACACTGTGATCACTTGAAAAAGTTAATCATAAGATGGTACAGCCCCACCTAACACTTTCAGGGATCTCTCATTATACTTAA